GTACTTCAAATAGTTGATAACGTCTTCTTTCACTTTTCTTCATTTCTTAAATAGTTTTGATGTTTTAGTTCTTTACGTCGCTGTTCGGAGGTCAACTGTCAGTCAAATCTTCATTTTCAAGAATGCGACTGTCATGGTAGTTGATCGTTGTGAAGCGTCATTTGTTTATTCAGCATTGTTGTGTTGGTATCACAACAATGCCGAGTAAACAAATCACGTAACATTGTTCGATGACGTAATTGTTTGGCGACGACGGGGAATCAGAAATTGTTATAGTAGATAGATGAACAATTATAGACATTGCGACGATGTGAAAATTTGTCGTTGTCTCTGTACACTTGCTGTGTACTAATGTAATACCATTTCAAACCAGAAAATACCAGTAGAGCAACACTGTTCTTGCTTAGTTCAAATGTTTGCTAACTGATAAGTATTTGTCATGCCCTTTCCGTCACCCTATTATATAAATCAGCCCATTTAAAGGTCGTTACATATGTAAACAAATCATCTTAAACATGAATGAGCACAGTAATGGAGTTCGTGGATGCAAACTGGCAAACCTTTAAGATTCCACAAGCAACGACGAGCCGAATTATAGAAAACGAACACCGCCTTCGTTTACCGAGAGGGAAAGGTTCGTGAAACACTCGAGAAAAATCTCGTCTAGGGTTAAACACATGGCAGATACTAACGCAGCTACGGAACGAACGAACAACCTTCAAGTTGTCGCTGCCCTGTAACAGGTAAAACGAGAGACGGCTACAAAGAACCTGCTTTAACATACCCCTCTTGAACAAGGTTTTAACTTCGAACGGATTCACAATGGGTATCACAACATAAAGAATTTTACCACGCCCAAAAAAACGAAACTACAGAAAAAAAATTTCCCCGCCACCTGCTCGTGATATTTGAAACCATTGCACGACGGATCACCCGCGCACATTTAAAAAGAATTCGCGTTCCTTTATCCCTGTCCATACATTCCACAAGATGTTTCTTTTGACCAGACTACACGGCGCAACAACCCTCAAGACATTAATCTTCAGACTCACCGCCGTTAAAACCTCAAATCCTACATTGGAATTTCCCTCAGAGCCCAAACAGCAGAATATCTCGGCGCGAACCTTGACACTCAGTTTACAAGTCAGCCAGGTCGGAAAGATGGCAGCTCTCAAATCCAAGAGAGCCAACCAAGCAAAATCATTTTCACCAAGGACAAGTACCAGTAGCAACAGTCCTTTGAAAAAGTCAAGGCCTTCCACGGCGTCAAAATTCTCGTTAGAATACGCACACCCCCGTTATAGTTGAAAGACTGTTCATACAATTTCCAACTATGCGTTCCGTACACAGGAATGGTGTAACCTAGCAAGGGACGATGTCATGCGCTTGCGCAGGACTCCACCTTTAGTTCGCTGTTTTGTTAGTTTGAAATTCCTTCACGGACTGGCAGCTTCGTCAGCAGTGCAACGCTCCTGTTCTAACATGTGACTGCGAAGAATCGTGTTCAAGGAGCTTTACTCATTTCGGTGTGTGGGGACAGGAGAAATGGGCAATAGAAAGTTCCTTGTGAGAAACACACAGGCCTTCACGGCGTTCTTGACGAGACTTCCGCCATGATCGCTAAATTTAACACACAATAGCGGAACTTCCTGGTGGCTCTAGCACTAACGCCCATCGCAAGGAGAGCATAAAAATATTGGCATATTATCCATTGCACTTCATACCTGATAGAAATTTGGCGTGCGACGATCGTCCTTTGTCGGTGACAGTTAAGAAACTGTTCATTCAGTATCATTCGGGAAAAAAACAACGATGTAATAACCAACTTGGCATCATAGCAATTGCAAGTATAATTAAAAACCCAAGAATAAGTAAAATATTTATAAGAAATAATAAATTTTCAGTTCTATGACTGTGCATGTGCCCAGAAAATTAACTACAGTTTATTACCAACATATAACAAACAAACAATATATATATATGCAACAGGAAACGTAGGCTTTACAAGTTCTGCCAAGAACTCTTGTCATTTATCATCATTTAGCCTAGTCCCATATGAGCTTTGTTGATTTCTATGGTAGGTCACAACCATCTTCCCATTTCTTTCAACGAAAACATCTTGCACATCGACCTGCGTAAGAGACATCACCACCAAGTGGCACAGTTATTTTTCTGTAAATCAGTCACACATAAGTCAGAACAGTATTTAACTCTAAAGTTAAATAATTAAATCACTAATTACCAAGTTACAGCAATATTCCATTTGCAGGCACTCGCACTGTTGGCCAGAATACTGTACTGTCAAAAATAAATAGAAACCATCTAAGTAACTAGCTGGCTTAGGGAAACCGAAGGTTCATCTCCGAATTAACCAAAACCCCCCACCGATCTCTATCCTGGGCCAACTATCTCCCAGATAAAAAATAAATCCGTGGCTTAACAGCTCCAGAGAGCCAAAGCCGACTAGCTGGATGCTGGTCTCACGTTCACATGCCTAAGCAGAGGTGAACGATCATCCAACCAGATATAGGGTGACGTGTGGTCAGCACGACGAACCCCCAGCCGTTGCTAGCTTTCCTGACCAGATTACGCTACTCATTGTAGCTCCCCAATTTCCTCACGATGCTGGGTTGGCACCGGTCGAAAGCTCATGAGAAAATTTCTTCTCCCCCGAGACTCGAACCAGCGCGCATTCTGTGTCACCGGTCCGAAGCAAGATGCCTCAGACAGCGCGGCTACGGCGCATTATCTCCCAGATCCTGCTTGATATTATTCTCCCATCTATGTCTAGGTCTCCCCAGCGATCTCTTCCCTTCAGGCTTCCCAACCAATACCCGGTGTAAATTTGATTTCAACACAGAGTAACTGAAGTTGTGTTATTTTCCTGAAGGACACAAAGTTACCAGAACTAACACTGTTTGAACAATACATCCCACTCTCTTTACAGATGATATGTGTACATAACGCACACTGATGTGTTAATTATTATAGATGTGGCAATGATGTTTCTGTACAACAATAAAAACAGTGAATACAATCACTTACCGTTGAATGTCTCCAATATTTGATTATTTCAATGATGTCGGTGCTAGGTGCATAAAGAAGAAAGTCACGCCACTCATCAAAGCTAATGGCCAAACTTCCATCTTGATCCATTCTAAAAGAAAAGTATAATATTCCATTACACACTTTTTTTTTCAGAATTACAAGACTGAGAAATTCTGAACTGTAACCTGTCTTCTACAAAATAAATTTTCTATAACTATAAACAGTAATTTCAGAAGTTATAAACTGCAATATAAATATTTAATTTTGGAAATTTACTACAAGAAATAAAATATTTGAGAATTATGCAATCTTCCTTTCTTAATTTCGTAATTGCTTTTGGGCAATTCTGTTCTTCACGACCAGAAATCTATGATTGTCCTTTGAACTCCTCGTAAGTTATAAAAAGTCCAGCTATGATTTTGGTTTGAGATGCTACGTCAGTGTTTCTTCACTTCAACAATTCCCCAGCTGAGAAAAAACTACTGTAAATTAATTGTGCATCTTTCAACTGCCCGAGCAACTGTACGATGATCCAAGCATATCTTACAATTGGGCTATATCTCGTAAAGCAACCCATCTTGAATTCAAAAAATTCATTTTGTATTCCTAAAAGCATCGACAGTTCCTGTGTTTTTCCTTTGGGTATTTATTTTCGTATTTTTGTCCAATGAAAAAAAAAATCCACCACAGACAAGAAGCTGAATCCCTTTCAGTTCCAATCCCTCCAGGTTTTACTGAGCCTCTCATTAGGAAGCACAGTTAAGAGCACTGGCAAATAAACATGTCCTTGAAGACGGCTGTCTTCTGAGATCTTGCACCATGTACTGTTGGATACTGACTGACACTTCAGAATAGCTTACTGCCTCCATCATCACCATGGGAACATTCAATCCCACATAGTAAATCCATATCGGACAGCTACTTCAATGTTATGTGCACAGATTCAAAATGCTGATTTGTCCCGATGACGGAGGCAGTAAGCTCCTCAGAATCATCAGACAATATCTACATGCCACCCAGCACATCACAATGGACATCTTCATGCTTGCCACTGTGACAACTTCAAACCTCAACACCATCCTTCTTTAAGAAACAATTATTTAAATTACTTAAGATATTGTAAATACGTCATATTGTGATTCATAAGTATTAAAATATATTAAAAAATTTTGCCGTCAATCACAAATATAATAATGTTAAAAGATTAAAACATCATTTAACGTTCCCCATCGAGTACTCGATTACAATAGGAACTTACACGTGTAATCTTTTAACATTATTATATTTGTGATTGACGGCAAAAAATTTTAATATATTTTAATACTTAAATTACTTAACGAAACATCAAAATAAAAAAAAAATTCAGATTAAACCTGTTCCAGTGCCAATCCAATTTAAGTCACCTGGAATTGTACCTAGGTCTACGAGGTGAAAAGCAAGCATCTGAGCTACTGTGCAGCTCTGTGTAAAAATATACCTTCGAAAATTACTCTACTTTTGTTAAGGCAACATTGTAATATATAAAATAACACCGCCCACACAAAATGAAACTCACAAAACAAAAAAATGCTGTCATGGGAAATTTTGTACATCACACACACATTCTTGGGGGTTACGCATGAACTATTTGTTGTATGTTAACAATCACAAATGTGGCAATGAAGAAAAACTCTGAGGTTAAATCTGGAAAATGTATTGGCGTTAGAATCCATACTACGTGGAAGTAGCGTCAGAAATGGATCACAACACTGTCTACATATTACTTCATACTTCCTGTATGCCTTACCATATGCAATTAAGTATTTGAGGGAAACAAATGTTATAAGTTAATTTCAAAATGTTTTATGATACGTGGGCATTCCAAATAAATTTTCAGAAAGCTTCAAGCTTAGAATCATGCCAACACATCACATCTCTGACAGATGAGCAAGGCAGCATAGTTCCTGCAATGTTAAGGGATTTATTATGGTTTTGTATTTCACGGCAATTATTTCAGCTAATTTAGCTGCGATTAATTTGCTACAACATCACACACACTTTTATTTCTCGTCGTAAAAACGGCATATTTTACAAATAAGACAGAATATTAATACATCAATACATTTTTAATACACTACTACCCTTATTTTGTTACATAAATATAACCTCCGTAATTTAAAATATTGCTACACTCCCATGCGTGTTCATATTAATAAACTTTACAGAAAGGATGCATGATGTATTAGTGGCAACTATGAATCCCAGTTTGACATGCAACAGCTCACCTAAAACTCACACATCTGGATTGGTATTTCATTTCTATTCATCCTCATCAGATGAATGTCAACTCAGCCTCAAACTGTCAGCCAAGAAACAGACTCAAGTGAATCAAATGGTTAAAATAAAATGGAAAAGGTTACAATAAAAATAAATACAAAACTAGAACAAAGGAGATGATTTTAACAAAGACAGGTATAAGTTATAAGAAATGTAGACTTTAAGCCATACCAACTGCAAACATACTCGGCAAAGAATGGAAAGTATCCAAACAGAACAAGATTACCTCTGAAGTAGTTTCATAGCTTCATTTTTATCTACTTCCACACCAAGGTCTTTAAATGCTTTAATCAGTTCTTCAACATCAATCATACCTAAAACATGAGAAAAAAAAACATAATTTATCACAACCACAACAAAACATAATCATGTGATATTATTCATGCTTTCAGTATCAAAATTTTCTTTCATTAAATCCAGTATCTGAGATGATTTCCTAATGAACAGGTGCTGATAACAAAATTTTACAAGCATTTTATTTTTAAAAAATCCTCATTAATACAACTTGTGCGTTTGCCATCATCCACAAATTTTTTAAAGAGTTACTTAAAGTTATCCAACAAATTTCACTTCAGTTTTAAAAATGTATGGTCATAACAATTTCACCTGCATACAAATGCAAAGAGAAATAAATGTGTGTCCTTTAATGGCAATGACAATTTAAATACACGTACATAATAAATTAGTCACCAAATTACTCTCAATCACAACAAATTAAAATCATTCTGTATATAAAAAAAGTATCTCTAGATCGGGGCTCCACAAATCCCAGATGCATGGTCACAAGGGCACCAAGAAATGTTGTAGCATCCAGTATTCTTTAGATTAATTATGTTAAGTTTGTGCATGTCTTTACTGTTTTGAAAATTCAAGCTCAAAAATAACTGTGCCACAGAACAGGTGGGAGACAAGAAACTCAAAGGAGATGCATCTGACAAATTTCTTCCTTACCCTTCCATTAGAAAGAAGAAACAAGAGTGAAGTTTAACTGGCCAAAGTGTTGGCTGTTACGTTTAATATCAAGGGAGAAGCAAGTTGTAAGGTATGATCTCCCTAGTTACATTTAATATCAAAGGTGAAGCAAGTTGTAAGGTATGATCTCCCTTCCCAGTACTGCGAATCAAAATTCTAAGTTTTCCTTTGACTAACAGTGATGGAATTCAATCCTGCAAAGGACACAGACCAGCGGTACATTACTTTGGTTCCCAAACATCAGGACCACAAGAAGTCAAAACAGAAACAGTGAAAGTAAGCATAGCATTTATGACGAGCACAGTTATAATGCGATCTCAGCTACTGCAAGCAAACACAGACGAGATGGTCGGAAATGATGTGTTTTATGAGCAACATTTTATGGTTAAAGCGATCACGGTAGTCGAGAGCTTCACGTGTATAACGAGCAAAATCTTTATGCCATTATAACGCTGGTGCATAGATCTCAGCTACAATATCCCGTGAAATATGTAAAAGGAATTACTCATTGACTGCTCACTGATAATCAGAAACCTAACAGCAAGTCCTTCACCATTAGCAAGGTACGACTTCATGCCCCTGCCACGGGAATAACCACCCAAGGTTCCCTGCTATATACCATGCAGAAGAAGATGGGCCTACACCGCTTCAAGGATCATGTGGTTGATTACATCACTGCCAGCAGGAACACATCAGAGTCACACAGCCAGAAAATGGTATGTGACCAATGAATAATTGCGCCGTCTGGGTTCCTACTGTGGTTCGATGTGGGCGTACATGATTATGGTCTGGGCTTTGTACCTAGATTTACATATAAAGGTAGTGAGAAGAGTCTGCTCAATGTTCATTTGTGACTTCTCCATAGAAAGTCACACCAAAACTATGGGACAATATCACAGACAGGAAAGATCCCGGATAGTGAGACAAGAGTGCAATAAAGCTAATTGGTCTTAAAAGTAAGACATATATATATATATCAAGATAATCCAAATCATAACATGAAGAAGGGGGCAGTGAGAAAGACAAAAAAGGTGGAAACAGAATGGTACAGACACAAAAACGTAAAAGGTTAAATGAGAAAAAGAAACACACAAGATCTCCCTTTGCATCTCCCCTGTCACAATGAGAACCAACCCACCCCAATGGGAATATTTTATTATATTTACATTTTTCCTTTCTCTAGTACAAACTTCTTACTTTCAATATCATTTAATTTAGTCTTATATATACAATCAAAACAACAAACTTGTGGAATCTTACATTTCCCACATCGTTATGAGCAAGAGAACCGTCTAGCCTTTCGAAAAGTAATTATTAGAACTACTGAAATAAAGAAATTAAAACAGTTAATTATTTGGTCAAACAGTGGCCTACCTCTCTGAATGCTAGATAATAGTGGTATTGATGATAATTCAGAAGTCCATTAGTAATTTCAAAATACATTTTATACAGATTGCTGACAGGTAAACTTGTGAGATAAAATTGTTACAAAATTGGTAAGATAACAAAAGAGTTATATTACATAATGTAATATAATGGTGCAAAAACATGAGATAAAAATAATAAAATATCTTATTAACATTTAAACATCCATAGCATAAAACACGATATACAAAGAAAAACTGCAGTTTTAAATTCCATTAAAAATACAAGTTAGTTACTTGAATGGGTTTAAGTCTTTGTTCTTCCTACTTCATTATTACGAGGCTCGTCCACAAAGTAAGTTTCCCTGGGGCCGTTTACAGAAACAAAACACAATTTCATGGAAATATTTATTGCAACAGATACAGCAAGTGTCCAGCTATTTTTCAACATATTCGCCACCGGAATTGAGACATTTGTCATACCGTAGGACCAACTTTTGAATACCTGTGTCGTAGAAGTCGGCCGCCTGGGATTGGAACCACTGTGTGACAACCATCTCCGCCTCTCTGTCATTCTCAAAACGCTGACGCTGACAGGACAGGAATTTCTTGAGGTGTAGGAAAAGATGGAAATGACTGGGAGCGAGGTCCGGGCTGTAGGGTGAATGATCAAACACCTCCCAGCTGAACTCCTGCAGGAGACTCGCTGTCCGACGATGCTACTGTCAGAACGCGGGAAGTGCCGTTAGAGCATGCGCCATCCTACGTCATTGCTCTATCACATACGCACAGTCGCTTCGCGCAATATAAGGTTTGCTAGCTGTGGGACGAGTGGGAAACTTACTTTGTGGACGCGCCTCGTAGTTACAAATATAAGAAGCCTAATTATGGTATCACATTAAGTGTACAATGCAGGATAGTCCACTTTCTCCATCACTCGGCCAATCAAACAAATTCATGCAACTGTCTTAAACTATGAAGGGAATATTGTCCGTCGTATGTCAAACTGGTGGAAGTAAGACTTACACTATTGCATTTTACTTACCATCCTTATTTTTATCCAAGTGAGAAAACTGTAACCGCAGATTCTTTTCATGCTCCTTCACATAGTGAATGAATTCTCCTATACTAATATCTCCACTTTTATTTTGATCAGAGTGTTCAAGAAATTTCTGAAAAGAAAATTTTCAAGTCTACACATACATAAGGTTGTACAAAAAATATACACATAAATATAATTTTGTAGCCTCATTTATGTGATGCGTTGGAAACACTACAATGAAATATATATTAAGAGACTAGCCAAGTGGACTTTTAACATCAGCCATCATACATTAACCATAAAAGGAGTGATAAGAAATATTCCTTAGAGATACAACTCTGCATAAAATCTTGATAAAAAAACAGTTACTTTATTCAGATATGAACATCTGACTTATATGAGGCACAAAGATCGATTTTAATGCAAGCTCTCAATAAACTTACTTTTCACTAAATTTCTTTTATGTTCCATCCATGTTTGATCACTGATTTCCCTGTTACACCAATACATCCATAACTTAAATGGGGCAAATATTTTTAAATCGACTATAAATTCTGAATACTATAAAAAGTGCAAAGATAGAAATCACCACACACTTGAAAAAGATCAACAATTCTCAACCTGTTAGGCAAACAACATTACTGTGCTTTTGTTACAATATATTCAATACATCTCATTAAAGCAGGATTTAATGTTCTCATGGAGAAACATAACTTACATTTTTTTTTTTTTGGGGGGGGGGGTCTGATACCACGTAGTAATGGAAAGTTTGGCTTAAATTTCAAAGGAACATACTGACTACATCTTCAGGCTTAAGACATGAGAATGGAGACGGTTCATACAGAAAATGGTGATGACAGGCCAGAACATATGGAAAAACAAAAGAAATTGCCCTGGATTGGAGAAGTTGAGACTGAAGCATCAGGAAGACAACAGACTTCAAAGCATGACGACAATACCATTTATAACAATGAGCAAGATCAGTGGTTCCCAAACTTTTTTTCTGGCACCACCAATGAAATAAAAACAATATTTCAAACACCATACACTGTTTAACACTAATCATTATAGGCAGAATTAAAGGGGGGAACTTTTTGGTATAGTTTTAAGTAAAAATGTACATGTATTTATTTCCAATTAAATATAATCTACAATTTCCCCATAACCTCAAAATCCAATCATGATACCATCACCTATGCTAACCATAGTAACAGACAGAGTGTAGAAATGACGAACAGAACTTACTCAGTGGAGAAAACGTTTGGAACTAGGTGACATATCCTTGACTGAATTATCAATACAAGTTTTAAGTCACTTTTCAGTTGAAGGCAGTTATGGGACCTTCATTTAATTACTGTGTTTGCTGAATTTTCCCCCCCCCCCAAAAAAATACTAAAACATGAGAAAAATAAACGTCCTAACATCGAGAAAATACTGTAACTTATCTACTATGTATAATAGGAAGTGAACTGTACTTGAAAATACATATTGTATTATTACAACTTATTCCATATCCTACTGTCATCCGACTAACCTATGGATCCATGGAATGTAATAGTAATGACATATGTACATACATGTGTATGTGTATATGTAATAAGTTCATGTTTGATTTTCCCATTTTGATTACAATAACTGCCTTATTCCAATAACAAAAATGGGAATAGAGAAAAGTTCTAATAACCTTTTGTTGTCCAGTGATATCACGCCGTTGCCGTGTTGACTCCTGTCTGACATTCGGCTGCAAAGGACTAATGACCTACACAAAGGTAATACCTCTACTCAACTCAAAAGTTGCAATAAAATTTACTACAAATAAACTATGATAAACTGAAACAGAAAAGTAACATAATTTATTCTACTTTCAAAATAAAGAAAAACAAAAAAGGTTTAAAAATGTATAAACTGCTTAAAAGTGTGAAGTGTTTTACAAGGAGTATAACTTATATACTAACATCAACAAAACAATGCACTGTAAGAGAGTTACAATGTGGACACTTAATGGAGAAAGCATGATGTTTAGAAATACACAAACACTACAGACCACACACATCACATTACCTACACCAAGGAAAGTTTTTGCCTTATCCAACACAATCAAGTAAATATTCTGTCATCTGGAAATCCTGCTGTCCGATACAGTCTTCTCTTTAGGGATTACCATCACATCTAATAAGCACTTACTGCCTCCGTCATCAGGGCGATTGAAAGTCTCTGAAGTCAGATTCAGGTGCACTTTTTTAAAATGATTTTTGAATGATTCAAAGTTTGGAATTATTCCATTGGACAGGGATTTAATTCTGAATAAAACATTTAACAATTTCATCCTCTGAAACTAAAGCTCATCTAAAGTTTGCTTGAAAATTCAGTCCACGCAACATAAAAGATGTAATGCATATATCCATTACAAACACCAGTTGACAAACCTGTCTAAGGAAATAATGACTGTTTACTCTGATAATCAAACAAAACTGACAAATACGTTCTGTGAGCAAAGTGCAGAACTATTGACTATTAAAGCAGGTGGTATATACAGTTATCACTGGGCTCTTAAACTCTAAAAAAGTGACTTTCTTCTGGAAGCCTATGACTTGTGCATGAGATGAATATTTTGGCTGCATTATAATTATTAGGTTACAAGTATTTTATTTTACTTTTATTCTGTGCAAAATTATGTGATATGTGAAAATGTGTATTCACTTTGGTTTCTTGGTCAGCTGTATTTTAGTGCATAACTTTATGACTTGTGAACACTTGGGTTAGGCAATATTTTTAGATTAATTATGTATAATTACAATACAATTTTATGTTGTCTTTGCGGATATTTTGATACAGCAAGAGGGCAGGGATATAGGGTTTGGACAAGAAACAAGTGAGACAGGAAGTGGTAAAACAGGATAACTTTCCTAAATGTTTCCAAATTCATATCAACATTGTCCATTTTCAGAGACGAGGAGGTGACCTTGTTACCATTCTGATCTTAGAAAAAATTATTTTAGCCATGCGACACATTTCTTAAATATCTGACATAAATAAAACAGGACTCTGGTAAGCAACAGCATAAACCGAAATACCTCTCGGATATTTTGCGTTTAAACATGACAATCCTTTATTGAACGAGATGTAAAAGAACTGATGGCAACATGGCATGAAAGAAAACGACACAACTACATCATACCTTGGCATACGACTGATTGACTCCGAATTCTCTAAGGGCTACTGAAAGGTCATGTATATCTATTTTTCCGTTTCCATCCACATCTAGAGACTTAAATAGATTTTCTAGTCTTTCCTCGTCTTCCTGGGGCAGTTCATGTAAGTAGCGTGGTGGATGAACTACACTTGGATGGTCACTGTTAACGTGTTTCACCATATTTATTCACTAGCCACACAAAATTTCATAACAAAATCAATTTATATCAACACAACAGCATAAGCACTTTCGAAGTATTAGTTCCGATATCTGCAATGCAACACAGGACTACGACAATGACATCATAGATATCCCATGATTCACAAACAGATTATAACAGCTGTTAATTCACAGATAATTAAAGTCAATAACTCCCAAAGTCGTGATACACAGATGTTACAGACATTTAAATGTACGCATGCAAATTGTCAAGGACGTGTCATACAGTTATTTCCCCACATCTACACTATAAACATTTTAACTTTCTGTTGATACTTGTAGTCTGGGTTTTAACGCCGTGTGGACGTCTGTCTCCAGTGCATGTGGTCCCGGTGTTGTGAAATACCAATAAGACTTCAGAACTACTATTTGAACTTCCTGCATGAATCTTTACATTTAATTAAAACGCACAAATTAAAAAATTACGCTTTTTATTATGGCTTTAATTTATAACAGTACTTTATTTTGTCAAAATATTATAATTACGTTTGTCAAGAAACTGCTTTTTCTTCAGGTGCCTGTACGCAACCTTTAATTTATCGTAGTGTTCCATTTTGTCCAATTTGCAACATATTCACGAAATAATCCATTTCAAGACGTGATACTCATCCACAGAACTGTCACAATAATGTGTAATTACTAGCAATGAAAGATATATTAATTTTTCAGTGTAACTGGTTTTATTAGAAACCTGAATTCGGTGGGAGCTTTCGGTAATGTCCCACATGCTAATCATTACGTTTCCTTCTAGGGGAAATCGAACCGTTGAAATTTCTTCAAAAATATAAAATTATTAGCGTCTATGGAAGTCTTTTACTTTTCTTTACTTGGAACGGGCATGAACTCTTGAACTACAGCTTTCCATAGGGTTATGGTAAACGATATGTTTAAAAATACAGAAGGTACAACCAACTCATTAGGATAATTAATTGTTAAGATAATACACAGAGCATTTTATATTCATTTGTGCTCTACATATGATTTTTTGACATTACTCATGAGCACATTTGGCGGCATTACCCCGGGGTAACAAAACCATATCCATATACATGGAGAGAATGACCATGTTTTCAGTTTTTATATAGGCATACTTTAATGTAAAAGTGCAAAATGTTACATGACATAAATAACTAGGAATTTTGATCACATGGGGAATTCATACGATGTTGCCCAGATAGGTATGAATCAACTACAGATGTTATGAGTTCATAACAAGGAATCTCAGTATGCAGAACTTATTCACGAATTTCGTTTCATCCTGTACGCATACATAAAACGGGCACACTATACACAGCACAATTGTATTAATTTTTGTACGTAATTTTATCTTTGGGAATATTTCTTTCATACACTTTTAAACAATTTAATATTAAATTTAATACTTGAAGATCCAAAAAATTGCAACTATATGTTATGACATGCAACAAAAAAGGTCTGATGATGGCACAAGAAGTACCAAAACATGTAACCCAAGATAATGGATAACATCATTTTCCATCCATGCTAGACCAGGCAGCCAGTCCCAAAATATTCCTTTCACAAGAAAAATAAAACACTTTACAACAACATTAAGGGTCATAACATAGCAATAAGACAATACAGGACAGTGGAAAATGCATGTTTATTTTGGTCAGGTTACATACGAGGGTTCCTTAAAGAAGAAATGGTTTACTTCAAATAATTTAATATTAAATATGATTACTACAGTTTTAAAATGTATACTGTGAAGACAATCGGGAAAGTCACAATTCCTTTGCATTCAAGCATATGCTCATTTATACAAACATCATTACTTTTAAAGACACCAGTTTCGTAACAGTTACATTCAGTTCACCTAATTGGGTAATTAATGGATTTAAAGTCCATTCAGCTGCACTGATCACTCATATTTAACACCTCAGTCCACAACAAAAGAATTTAACCTAAACCTTTAGAGTATAATTTCTGCCATACCCGACTATACTGCCACAGCGAGATTCTTATTAGGTGAATGGTCAGATTTCATCTGCACCAAATGCAAAAAGCCAGACTTCTTCATAAAATTATTAAGATCCACTGACTAATTCAGGATATCAAATTGCAGTGTTCAGTACAGTCACTGGCATTATACTTCTTTTGACAGGACTTTAAAATACTTTAGTGGTTCTCTTTTTTAGGCTCATTCCCTTTCTGGTTCTGGGTTTTGCTCTTTCTTTTGTACACCCTTCTGCCTCTGACCAGAAATCTTTCTAATCTTACCCTTCCTCCCTTGGCTTGATACTACATGTTATTTAAGTAAGATTTGATGTTTTCACAGCAGTCAATATGAAGATTTCCGTCTTCTGGGTTGTTGCGCTGTGTAGTCTGGTCGATGTTAACCAACGTTTCAGAGGTCATATTGCCTCCGTCATCAGGGCGATGAGTATGATGACGGAGGCAGTATGACCTCCGAAACGTTGGTTAGCATCGACCAGACTACACAGCGCAACAACCCAGAAGACAGAAATCTACAATTTATTTGTAGGTGAGATCTCGAGTTAGCAACACAAAAGTGTTCACTGCAGGTGCCTGATGTAGAAGGGATTTGAGTCTGCCTAGAAGACGTCTGTGATCTGAAGTGACATCTGAGTGGGCAAATTCTGCACCTAGGGCCTCCTGTGTGGGGAATCCCAGCTGCAGAATTCCCCAACCATTCATAAAGATTAAATTCTGGAAAATGTGCCATAACTATTCCACTATGCTAACGTTTCCTTACCTATTTCTGTATTGTTTGAATAACACTCATCAACGAAAGATGCATATTTTGTATTCAGGTTACAGCATCTGTTCAAGAGAAGGTCGACATCCTCTGGCACTCACAGTTGTCAATATGAACATTATGCGACACTCATACCTCATCTGATGTCCTCAAACAGAAGATTTTCATTTTATATTCAAGAATGAAATCTCAACCAGGCATATTTGGGAGGATACTATTAAAACAGTTCTTATGAAAATTAGGTGGGAGCATCAACTGGATTCATCTGTGTCAGAATGAGGACTGGTAGCGGACTCTTGTGATCACAGTAATATCAAACCTCTGGGTTTCGTAAAAGGTGGGCCATTACTTGACTAACTGAGTACAGTACGTGCTTCACAACGACTGTGCTCCATACAGTTAATTCCTTGTACAATCTCAAGCCTATTATGCTTGTGTAAAATTTTCTCCATTAAAGTTCTCTTCAGAATAATACCAGTACAGGAACATAAAATTAACTCCGTCTACAGTTCCACACGGACTGTACCTATGGGTAATAGAGCTTCGCAGATTTATGTTAATCCTTATAACTTAAACATTAAATGTACCTAAAGGGAGTGTTCAACAGTTAAAGAAAGCTAGGTGAAATCCGTAACTATCTACGAAAAAGACATTTGTACAAGAGAGCAGTGTCATGATTGCTACATGATACATCTTGCAGAGGAACCACATCTGTTCTGCAGAGGCAAAAAGCTTCTGTATTAGTTCCATAGACTAATAATACTTTTATAATGCAGAAGTGACTGAAGCGCTTTTACTGTAACACTACTGCATGGTTTTAAGTGCAGTCATAGCAGATATGAGTCGCACCAGTTCTCCTTCTGTCTGTGTCAGCTTGTCAGTATTGGTCAGACGCACTTCCTCCGGGACTTTGATACTGTAGTCTGGTGCAGCCATTGCCTGCTTCAATTTGCTTACTTGTTGTTCAAGTTGGTCTTGTTTCTTTTGAAGTTTCAGTAGTTCTTTGGCTGGATCAATAAGTCCCTGTATACAAATAAGAATATGTAGATTAAGTCAATTTCCTGGGAGCAATTAAGTATGGTAACTTAAAACATGTTTGCAAATGAAGCCATTTCTTAAAATACGAAGTATGGGGCATTACATCAACAGCAGGAGAAAAGAGTTATTGTATATAAAAATAAATTTTTACCAACTGTGCATAAAAATTTAGGAATAACATATGTAGTTACAAAATGTATGTGTAGCATAACAATTCTGGTGTGTTCCCTCTGGTATTGCTTCTAGATTTTCTATTCGTAAATGTTAATTGCTGATGCTCTCTTATAAATAGCATGAAACATGGTTTTTATCAAAATTCACAGCTAAATGTTGCAAAGATGTACCTATTAGGATCAACATGTCTGTTTGTACGGAAAAATTCAAGAAAAATTGATGGACTTTCATTACAGGTTAGATTTGGGAGTTTTAGTACATTTAGCATATTATAATTTTGGTTGTGATTGCCCTGATGATGGAGGCAGCAAAGACCTCTGAAACGTTGGTAAACATCTACCAGACTACATGGTGCAACAACCCAGAAGGCAGCAATCTTCAGACTCACCTTCGTGAAAACCTCAAATCCTATATACCAGCGTGGTCCAACTGGCGGCCAGCGAAAGTATTAGTTAATTTGTTACTAGTTAGCACAAACCCATTTTTCTCGAAGTTGACATTCTGTCTCTGGTAAAAGAACATTCTGCTCAGTGCTCTCACTAAAGCCATTGCCTTTAAAAGCGTAAGATGTACGTTCTACTGGTATAAATTGTTATTGTATCAACAACAGGAAAACTATTCTGGCCCGAGCGAGGAAAAATGTTGGACCACCTTGCTATATACCAATCATGAATGACACAAAATGACACTTCCCCACATGATGTGTAATATTGTAGTAAAGACACACACAATGATAATTAGTCAAGATTCAGACCATGCCATCTTTATATGTATGAAATATCCATTTCTGAGGTGTTTTACTACTAATAGCAGTGTTATGGCATCATAATGATTCACAGACAGAAAATAGTCTCCTAATGATGCTGTGGACCTGGTACTCCTTATATAAAGTTTTAAATTTATCAGAACCAAGCTTGAGGCTGGCATGTTGAAAAATGTGCCCCATATAAGGACAGGTCCTGAATCTGAGATGTTTAGATAAGTTTGAATGTTTTAGCCCCATATCACAAGGTCCTCATATTTTATACACAACAGTATGGTCTCTTGACTAGTTTGTATATGATGACTACTGTACACACCTTTAGTAATAAGTGCACCTCACACTTGTCTGACACTGTGAGTATAGCACAGCCCTGTGGTGGAGAGGCACAAACTTCCACTTTCGAACAATAAGCCAAGGTACACACAGCAGACTGGTATTTGCACATAATTGTAGACATATCATCAGAACATAGTATGTAAGCTGCAACAAATTAAGACACAATAATACTTGTATTCGAAACAACCGTGGTACCTTCACAAGTAAAACCCCCGTAATGGGGGTGCAAACCAATCCTAGGATTGATTTAAAAAAAAACTTGTATTACAAAACATTACCAAAAATCATTCTACTTCTATTTAGGGTCTATTTATATAGGAAGGTAATGATAACGACACGAGCCTGAGAAAAAAGCCTCTCCATTTATACATACACGTCGTGGAATCGGGACGAGGCCGAGCACAAAACTCTTCGACGAATTGAAGTCGTTCAGCTATGGCAGCACAGTTTTCATTTTCCATTGAAGATTTAATCATTATGGCAATTTTGTTGGAAGAAGAGGATGTTAATAGAAGAAATAGAAGATGGGGTGTACATCCTGCGTGGCGAAATAACAACATATTTC